CTGAGCGTGGCTGTGTTTCACTCCAGCGCTGTCCTCGAGACAGCCTGATCCCTTCACCTGATGAAGGCCGCTTGTGTTGTGGCCGAAACGTCGTGATTTTTGTTGTTTTATTTTTTACCTACGTGACTTTACCGAATAGAACCAAAGAGTATGGATACTTGCAGTCACGAAAGCTTTAAATCTAGAACAAAAAAGCTTATTAAAAAGCTGCGTGCAAAAATCAATGTGGTGAAAGCCAACAACAACAACCATAAGACAATTTAAATTAACCGTATGTTTTCGAATCACCAAAATAAAGCTATAAAAACAATGTAACAACAGTAATCATAGGAACTGTGATTTTAAATTTAACAATAAACGATATACATAACACATACGACAAAAAACTGCAGCCATAGCTGGCAGCACGACACTCCCAGTGTATGATGTGTGAGTGAGTCAGCAGCAGCGTGAGTGAGTGTATGATGTGCGAGTCAGCGTATGATGTGTGAGTCAGCGTATGATGAGTGAGTCAGTGTATGACGTGTGAGCGAGTCAGCGGCAGTGTGAGTGAGTGTATGATGTGTGAGTGAGCCAGCACACGATGAGTGAACCTGTGTATGAGTGAATGGGTCAGTGGTTGTGCGAGTGCATGATGTGTGAGTGAGTAAGCACATGATGAGCGAGTCAGTGCATGATGTTGGAGTGAGTCAGTGCATGGTGTGAGTGAGTCAGTGTATGATGTGTGAGAAAGTCAGTGTCGGCTCCCTCTGCTCACGCCGTCGCCCCCCCCCAGCTCCGTCGCCCCCCCCCCCGGCTCCGTCGCCCCCCCCCCAGCCCCATCGCCCCTCCCCGGCTCCGTCGCCCCCCCCCCCCCAGCTCCGTCAGCCCCCCCCGGCTCCGTCACCCCCCCCCAGCCCCATCGCCCCTCCCGGCTCTGTCGCCCCCCCGACTCTGTCAGCCCCCCCCAGCTCCTTCGGCCCCCCCCTGGCTCCGTCGCCCCCCCCCCCCGGCTCCGTCGCCCCCCCCCCCCCCGGCTCCGTCGCCCCCCCCCCCCCGGCTCCGTCGCCCCCCCCCCCGGCTCCGTCGCCCCCCCCCCCGGCTCCGTCGCCCCCCCCCCCCGGCTCCGTCGCCCCCCCCCCCCGGCTCCGTCGCCCCCCCCCCCCGGCTCCGTCGCCCCCCCCCCCGGCTCCGTCGCCCCCCCCCCCCGGCTCCGTCGCCCCCCCCCCCCGGCTCCGTCGCCCCCCCCCCCGGCTCCGTCGCCCCCCCCCCCCGGCTCCGTCGCCCCCCCCCCCCGGCTCCGTCGCCCCCCCCCCCCGGCTCCGTCGCCCCCCCCCCCCGGCTCCGTCGCCCCCCCCCCCCGCTCCGTCGCCCCCCCCCCCCCGCTCCGTCGCCCCCCCCCCCCCGCTCCGTCGCCCCCCCCCCCCGCTCCGTCGGCCCCCCCGGTCCCATTGGCCCCCTCGGCTCCATCGGCTCCCTCCGTCGGCTCCCTCGGCCCCCTCACAAACGGCCCCCGCCAGCCGCTGCTGGGAGCGCGGCCCCGGAGCGCGCGCCTCAGGCGGCCATCTTAGAGAGTCCTCAACGTGCACATACCCTGGCACAAGCGTCGTGGTGATGTCACCGCTACTTCGTGGCGAATGGCGGTTGTTGTGGGAGGGAGAGGGTGTGTGGGGGCGAGAGAGTGTGTGTGGGGGAGAGAGAGGGTGTGTGTGGGGGAGAGAGGGTGTGTGGGGGGGAGAGAGGGTGTGTGGGAGGGAGAGAGGGTGTCTGGGGGGGAGAGTGTGTGTGTGGGGGAGAGAGGGTGTGTGGGGGGGAGAGAGGGTGTGTGGGGGGGAGAGAGGGTGTGTGGGGGGGAGAGAGGGTGTGTGGGGGGGAGAGAGGGTGTGTGGGGGGGAGAGAGGGTGTGTGGGGGGGAGAGAGGGTGTCTGGGGGGGAGAGAGGGTGTGTGGGGGGAGAGAGTGTGTGTGGGAGGGAGAGAGGGTGTGTGGGAGGGAGAGGGTGTGTGGGGGGGAGAGGGTGTGTGGGAGGGAGAGAGGGTGTGTGTGGGGGAGAGAGTGTGTCTGGGGGGGAGAAAGTGTGTGTGGGTGGGAGAGAGGGTGTCTGGGGGGGAGAGAGGGTGTGTGGGAGGGAGAGGGTGTGTGGGGGGGAGAGAGGGTGTGTGGGGGGGAGAGTGTGTGTGTGGGGGAGAGAGGGTGTGTGGGGGGGAGAGAGGGTGTGTGGGGGGGAGAGAGGGTGTGTGGGAGGGAGACGGTGTGTGGGGGGGAGAGAGAGTGTGTGGGGGGGAGAGTGTGTGTGTGGGGGAGAGAGGGTGTGTGGGGGGAGAGAGGGTGTGTGGGGGGGAGAGAGGGTGTGTGGGGGGGAGAGAGGGTGTGTGGGGGGGAGAGAGGGTGTGTGGGGGGGAGAGAGGGTGTGTGGGGGGAGAGAGGGTGTGTGGGGGGAGAGAGGTGTGTAGGAGGGAGAGGGGTGTGTGGGGGGGAGAGAGGGTGTGTGGGAGGGAGAGAGGGTGTGTGGGGGGAGAGGGTGTGTGGGAGGGAGAGGGTGTGTGGGGGGAGAGAGGGTGTGTGGGAGGGAGAGTGTGTGTGGGGGGGAGAGGGTGTGTGGGGGGGAGAGAGGGTGTGTGGGGGGGGAGAGAGGGTGTGTGGGAGAGGGTGTGTGGGGGGGAGAGAGGGTGTGTGGAGGGAGAGAGGGTGTGTGGGGGGGGAGAGGGTGTGTGGGAGGGAGAGGGTGTGTGGGGGGGAGAGAGGGTGTTGTGGGAGGGAGAGTTGTGTGTGGGGGGGAGAGAGGGTGTGTGGGGGGGACGAGAGGGTGTGTGGGAGGGAGAGAGGGTTGTGTGGGGGGGAGAGAGGGTGTGTGGGAGGGAGAGGGTGTGTGGGGGGGAGAGAGGGTGTGTGGGAGGGAGAGAGGGTGTGTGGGGGGAGAGGGTGTGTGGGAGGGAGAGGGTGTGTGGGGGGGAGCGAGGGTGTGTGGGGAGGGAGAGTGTGTGTGGGGGGGAGAGAGGGTGTGTGGGAGGGAGAGGGTGTGTGGGAGGGAGAGGGTGTGTGGGGGGGAGAGGGTGTGTGGGGGGGAGAGGGTGTGTGGGAGGGAGAGGGTGTGTGGGGGGGGAGAGAGGGTGTGTGGGAGGGAGAGTGTGTGTGGTGGGGGGAGAGAGGGTGTGTGGGGGGAGGGAGAGAGGGTTGTGTGGGAGGGAGAGAGGGTGTGTGGAGGGAGAGAGGGTGTGTGGGAGGGAGAGAGGGTGTGTGGGGGGAGAGAGGGTGTGTGGGGGGGAGAGAGGGTGTGTGGGAGGGAGAGTGTGTGTGGGGGGGAGAGAGGGTGTGTGGGGGGGAGAGAGGGTGTATGGGAGGGAGAGGGTGTGTGGGGGGGGGAGAGGGTGTGTGGGAGGGAGAGAGGGTGTGTGGGGGGGAGAGGGTGTGTGGGAGGGAGAGAGGGTGTGTGGGGGGGGAGAGGGAGTGTGGGAGGGGAGAGGGTGTGTGGGGGGGAGAGAGGGTCGTGTGGGAGGGAGAGTGTGTGTGTGGGGGGGAGAGGGTGTGTTGGGGGGGAGAGGGCTGTGTGGGAGGGAGAGGGTGTGTGGGGGGGAGAGAGGGTGTGTGGGAGGGAGAGAGTGTGTGTGGGGGGAGAGTGTGTGTGGGGGGGAGAGGGTGTGTGGGGGGGAGAGAGGGTGTGTGGGGGGGAGAGAGGGTGTGTGGGGGGGAGAGAGGGTGTGTGGGAGGGAGAGGGTGTGTGGGGGGGAGAGAGGGTGTGTGGGAGGGAGAGAGGGTGTGTGGGGGGGAGAGGGTGTGTGGGGGGGAGAGGGTGTGTGGGGGGGAGAGAGGGTGTGTGGGAGGGAGAGGGTTGTGGGGGGGAGAGAGGGTGTGTGGGGGGGAGAGAGGGTGTGTGGGAGGGAGAGGGTGTGTGGGAGGAGAGGGTGTGTGGGGGGGAGAGGGTGTGTGGGGAGGAGAGGGTGTGTGGGGGGGAGAGGGTGTGTGGGGGGGAGAGGGTGTGTGGGGGGGAGAGTGGGTGTGTGGGGGGGAGAGGGTGTGTGGGGGGGAGAGGGTGTGTGGGAGGGAGAGTGGGTGTGTGGGGGGGAGAGGGTGTGTGGGAGGGAGAGTGTGTGTGGGGGGGAGAGAGGGTGTGTGGGGGGGGGAGAGGGTGTGTGGGAGGGAGAGGGTGAGTGGGGGGAGAGGGTGAGTGGGGGGAGAGGGTGAGTGGGGAGGAGAGGGTGTGTGGGGGGGAGAGGGTGTGTGGGGGGAGAGGGTGTGTGGGGGGGAGAGTGGGTGTGTGGGGGGGGAGAGGGTGAGTGGGGGGAGAGGGTGTGTGGGAGGGAGAGTGGTGTGTGGGGGGGAGAGGGTGTGTGGGAGGGAGAGTGTGTGTGGGGGGGAGAGAGGGTGTGTGGGGGGGAGAGAGGGTGTGTGGGAGGGAGAGGGTGTGTGGGGAGGAGAGGTGTTGTGTGGGGGGGAGAGGGTGTGTGGGGTGGGAGAGGGTGTGTGGGGGGGAGAGGGGTGTGTGGGGGGGAGAGGGTGTGTGGGGGGGAGAGGGTGTGTGGGAGGGAGAGAGGGTGTGTGGGGGGAGAGGGTGTGTGGGGGGGAGAGGGTGTGTGGGAGGGAGAGGGTGTGTGGGGGGAGAGAGGGTGTGTGGGAGGGAGAGTGTGTGGTGGGGGAGAGAGGGTGTGTGGGGGGGGAGAGAGGGTGTGTGGGAGGGAGAGAGGGTGTGTGGAGGGAGAGAGGTGTGTGGGAGGGAGAGAGGGTGTGTGTGGGGGGAGAGAGGGTGTGTGGGGGGGAGAGAGGGTGTGTGGGAGGGAGAGTGTGTGTGGGGGGGAGAGAGGGTGTGTGGGGGGGAGAGAGGGTGTATGGGAGGGAGAGGGTGTGTGGGGGGGGAGAGGGTGTGTGGGAGGGAGAGAGGGTGTGTGGGGGGGAGAGGGAGTGTGGGAGGGAGAGGGTGTGTGGGGGGGAGAGAGGGTGTGTGGGGGGGAGAGAGGGTGTGTGTGGGGGGGAGAGGGTGTGTGGGGGGGAGAGGGTGTGTGGGGGGGAGGGTTGCGAGTGCAGGAGAGGAAGAGAGTGAATGAGGGGGTGGGAGAGCGCGAGTGTCGAGAGCGAGAGAGAGGTAAGCATGGCTGGGAGGAGGTTGCGGAGGCTGTCCTCGCTCGGAGTCGCCCCGTGGCTTGCTCTCTCCACTGCTCTGCTGTTCGCAGTATCGCCCATGGATGGAGTCCACGGAGCCCCGCGCATCCCCGCGGAAACGTAAGTGTGGCCGGCTCGTGACGCACCTAGGTCGACTCGGCCTTTAAACGGCTACCTGGCGGTTGCAGGTTGAGTCGCGCGAGCGTGCGCGCGTCACAGAGCCAAATGTCCCCCGTGTAGCCTCTTGACGGGCTACCGGGGCAGGTGCTGTCCGTATACACAGACATACGGCACACACACTCGCACACACACTCACACACACTAACAAAGACAAAGATCCCCCGTATAGCCTTAACAGACTGTAGGGACAAGTGCTGTTAGCGAGCACCTATGAAGGCCGGAACGGTACACGAGGGGGTGGGTGGCCAGCACCACGCCCGACCGCCTTTGTCTCCCCAGTGGCGATGTTTACACACCGCACCAGGTACTCATTTGAGGCTGAGTCGACCTAGGGGAGGCCCAGGACCGGTTCAGATAATCGTCACTGGTGTTGGCACACACTAACATACACTCGTTCACACATACAAAAGACAAAGATCCCCCGTATAGCCTGTAACAGACTGCAGGGGCAAGTGCTGTTAGCAAGTATCTATGTAGACCGGCACGGCACACGAGGGGGTGGGAGGCAAACACCACGCCCAGCCGCCTTTGTCTCCCTCGTGGCGATGCACACAGACGCACAAATATATACACAATAACATGTACACACATAGACATGTAAACACATATGTACACACACAGAGACATTAAAATACATATACACACATGTAGATATACACATATACATGTCCAAATACGTATACAGACATGTAAATATATACATACACATAGACATATATACATAGACATATATACATACACAAAGACATATATACACATACATAGACACATATAAACATACACATATACATATACACAAGTAGACAATAAACACAGACATATACACACATAGACATAAACACACGTAGACATATTTTCACATCAGTGACGTGCGGTGAGGTCAATGGCTGAGGAGGCACTGGCTAGTGTCAGAGCCAGATTCACACACTGAGGGGGGCGTGGCCTCACCGAGGGGGCGTGGCATCACTAAGGGGGGCGTGGCCTCACTGAGGGGGATGTGTCTAACACGCCACCCTCAGTGAGGCAGATGTGATAGCTGCCTCCCCTGGTGCTTTTTCATTGCAGTTTCATGACGAGACCAGCGAGCCTAAATATCTTTATACACATACGTGAAATTAGTTACCTGGAGTATGGAAGGCGAGGACATGAAATAAAGGGGTCTACAAACATTACATTGGTGACATACTGAGATAGTAACAGGCACGCGCTTATTGCCTGCGCTCCATCCAGCTACTGAGGGGTTGTGCAATCAGAGGGGAGGCTGAGCTCATCGCTGCCTCACCTCTCGTCTCTTCCTGTATTTGCAGCGGAGCTCTGCAAATTTGGCGATTTTGACTCTAAAAATGATTGGAATCGTACATAAATTACATTTATAACACAGATCAGTGGAACAATCTTAATATTTATTTTATTGTTCTTTTTTTTTACTTTTCGTAACAGCTATTTTCATTGGAGTATGACAGGTGAGGCTCTGCCTCCTCTGCCTCCCCTGCCTCCCCTGACCGCACGTCCCTGGTACACATAAACATATACAACAACAATTCTAGATTTGGAGCTTTCGTGACTGCAAGGATCCATACTCTTTGGTTCTATTCGGTAAAGTCACGTAGGTTATTTTATTTTTACCTACGTGACTTTACCGAATAGAACCAAAGAGTATATACAACAACCGCCATTCGCCACTAAGTGGCGGTGACGTCACCACGACGCTTGTGCCAGGCCATGTGTACCTTGAGGCCACGTGAAGTGTCGAACGCCCGCTGGCAGGAGGTCACGGGGCAGACCCAAGTGCCACGGGTCGACTGACTAAGATGACTGAGATGACTGGTTGATACATATACGCACACGCTTAGACATACACACGTAGACATATACATACAGTTAGAAATATACACACATAGACATATGCTGTACACACATGTAGATATACACATACACATGGATACACACCTACATACATACACATAGACATATCCACACACGTAGACACAGATAGACATATACACACATAGACACATATACACACATAGACACATATAAACATACAAAGACAAAGCTCCCCTGTGTAGCCATCAAAGACTGTTGGGGCAAGTGCTGTTAGCGAGTAGCACCTATGAAGGCCGGCACGAGGTGGTGAGTGGCCAGCACCACGCCCGGCCGCTTTTGTCTCTCCAGTGCTGATATTTACATACTGCTCTAATGCTCTAATGAGCTACTCATTTGAGTCTGAGTCGACCTAAGGGGGAGGCCCAGGACCGGTTGAGATTCTCGCTCCGATTCGCTGTCATAGGTCGTGAGCCAGAATGGAACTGGGGTCGCCAAGTTTGTAGCGCAGTGCTTTAACCACTGCGCCACCGCTCCTCACCCGCCCAACACACACATGCTGCGTGTAAACATCGCCAGTGGGGGATACAAAGGCGGCCCAGCGTGGTGCTGACCACCCCACCCCCTCTTGTGCCGTGCCTACCTTTATAGGTGCTACTCGTTAACAGCACTTGCCCCAACAGTCTTTTATCTCTACAAGGGGGAGCTTTATCTTTGTATATGTCTGTGTATATACGTGTCTGAGTATCCATGTTTATGTGTGTATGCATGTCTTTGTATATGTCTATGTATATATGTGTCTATGTGTATGCATGTCTGTGTCTTAGTATGTCTTTCTATATGTCTCTATATATGTGTCTATGTGTAAGCATGTCTATGTGTGTATATATGTATGTCTTTGCATATGTTTAAGTATATATGTCTATATGTATGCATGTCTATGTATATATGTGTCTATGTGTATGCATGTCTATGTGTGTGTGTCTTTGTATCTGTCTATGTATGTATATATGTGTCAATTTGTCTGCATGTCTATGTGTGTATGTATGTCTTTGTATATATCCATATATATATACGTGTCTATGTGTAAGGATGTCTATGTGTGCACGTATATCTTTGTATATGTATATATTATGTGAATGTGTACATGTCTATGTGTGGATATGTCTATGTGTGTGTATATGTTTATGTGTGTATGTGGGGAGCGATAGTGTAGCGGTTAGCACGCTGCGCTATGAACCTGGCAACCCGGGTCCAATTCCCGCTCACGGCCAACACCAGTGACGATTATCTGAACCGGTCCCTGGCCTCCCCTAGATCGACTCAGCCTCAAATGAGTACCTGGTGCGGTGTGTAAATATTGCCACTAGGGAGACAAAGGCGGTCGGGCGTGGTGCTGGCAACCCACCCCCTCGTGTACCATTCCGGCCTTCATAGGTGCTCGCTAACAGCACTTGCCCCTACAGTCTGTTAAGGCTATATGGGGGACCTTTGTTATCTTTGTTGTGTATGTCTATGCGTGTGTATGTCTATGTGTGTAAAACTAAGTGGCCTGGAGTCAGAGCCATTCCCTGCACACCTTGGGGTACAACAGGGATGTCCTCTGGCTCCCACATTATTTAACATCTATTTTTACCACGTAGTTCGTGAAGCCTTCAATAGCTGTACCGGGGGAATCTCCATATGGTACAGATATAATGGGAGGCTGATCGATGCCCGGGTGCGGTCAAGGGATGGCTCCCTATTGCTCAACCACGTTATGTATGCCGATGATTTGGTAATAGCTGCTCATTCAGAGGAGAAGTTGGAGACGCTGCTGCTGCTGAGACTGGAGCGTGCCACTAAGAGATGGGGCCTTACCATGAGCCCCACCAAAACTAAGCACCTGCCTAGGTATTTTCTACCATCGGACACTCCACTCCACAACTCCCAACGGTGATGGGGCAGTTGTGGAGAGAGTGGAGAGTTTCCCATACATGGGCAGTGTGCTTATGACCGGTTCCAGTTTAACAGCAGAGGTCTCACTCCGTATCATTCGAGCGGCAATATCTTTTCATCGGTTGCGTAACACTGTGTGGAAGCTACCTGGTCTGTCGCTCCGCACTAAGCTTCAGGTCTTCTCGGCCACGGTCATTCCCTCCTTTCTCTACGCTTGCGAAACGTGGACCCCCCTAATGGAACATCTTCACCGGTGAGAAACATTTAGGCTAGCCTGCCTACGATTCATCTTGGGTTTAACCAGGCTGGATTGTGTGAGGAGCTCACAAATCCTTGAAAGATCTGGGCAAGGTCCCATCGGTGAGCTCCTCCGGCAGGCAAGGCTGCGTTGGCTGGGTCATGTAGCCCGCATGCCCAGCCACCGCATGCCGAAACAGCTTTTGTTTGGCCAGATCGAGGGGGTTAAACGGGCGCGGCATGGCCTAGAGAAGAGATGGAGTGATGTGGTATAGGAGGACGTGGAGCTGCGTGGACTTGCCGATGACTGGTACCAGCGGTGTCAAGATCGGCTTCTGTGGAGGAGGCTCGTGAAGGATGCTACTGGGTAGTTGGAGGCAGTCGCCCTCCAACAACAACGGAGGGCGGAGGAGCGACGCTCGCAACAATGAGCGGAGCGCCGGGTGGCTAAAGCACAGCAGGTTGGCACATTAGGGGGCACAGGTGGTGCATCAGCCAGTCATCATAGTCAGTCGACCCGTGGCACTTGGGTCTGCCCCGTGACCTTGAGGCCACTTCACATGGCCTCAAGGTGCACATGGCCTGGCACAAGCGTCGTGGTGACATCACCGCCACTTAGTGGCGAATGGCGGTTGTTGTATGTCTATGTGTGTATGTCTATGTGTGTATGTCTTTGTGTGTGTATGTCTTTGTGTGTGTATGTCTATGTGTGTGTATGTCTGTGTGTGTATATCTATGTGTGTGTATGGCTATGTGTGTATGGCTATGTGTGTATGTCTATATGTGTATGTCTATGTCCGGCTAAAACAACCCCCTACCTCCTCGTTGTTGCCGGACGGCAACACTGTGGTGGGCATTGCCGTGTGGGGCAGTGCAATGGGGACGGGCGTGGGAGGACCAATTTAGCTTGGCCTTTCCCCTCATGGCGTTTGTAATCACAA